CTGGAATCCCAATCCCAGGTTTTTCTGCAATCCCAATCCTGGTTTTTCCAGAATCCCAATCCCGGGTTTTCCTGCAATCCCAATCCAGGTTTTTCTGCAATCCCAATCCCGGGTTTTTCCAGAATCCAAATCCCAGTTTTTTTCCCCCTCTGGAATTCTGATCCCACTTTTTTTTCTGGAATTCCCATCCCAGTTCCCCCCCCCGCCCCCCTTTGGAATTCCATTTCCCAAATTTTTCTGGAATCCAAATCCCAGATTTTTTCCCCACTCTGGATCCCAATCCCATCATTTTTCCCCCCCCTGGAATTCCAATCCCAGAATTTTTCCCCTCTGGATCTTGGTGTTGTTTGGGGTTTTTTTCCCCTCCTCTGGAATTCCAATCCCAGATTTTTCCGGAATCTCAATTCCCCCCCCGGAATTCCACTTTGTTTGGAATTGGGGTTTTTTGGTTTGTTTTTGTTTGGAATTCTTTATTTTTGTTTGTTTGTTTGTTTTCCCTCTGGAATCCAAATCCCAGATTTCCCTGGAATGTCAATCCCAGATTTTTTTCCCTCCCTCTGGAATTCCAGTGTCCCATTAATCCAAACCCGAACTCCAGGGCCTTGTCCCAAATATTCGTCCCTAAAAATCTGGGAGAAGAGGGAGGGAATTTTTTCCGGGGCACGGAAAAAAACCGGGAAGGAAAATCCTAGGATTTGGGAGAAGGAAAAACAAAAATTAAAAAAAAGGGGAATTTTTAGATTAAAAAAAAAAAAAAAAAATCCCATCCCGGGAACGACATTCCAGACTTTTCCAGGATCACTTTCCCTGCCCTTGTCCGAGGACATTCCCGAGGAAATCTGGGCAAAAATTCCCAAAAAAATTCCTAAAAAATTCCCATTCCCGGGGGGGGGTGGGGGTGTCCCGATGCTAAAAAATTCCCATTCCCGGGGGGGTCTTGATCCTAAAATTTCCCGTTCCTGGGAATTCCCACCCGGGGGGGTCGCGATGTCCCAAATTTCGGGGCTCCATCCCAAAATTTGGGATTTTCCCTGCGGGAATGGGGGAAGGAGGGGCAGGGAGGTCCCGGGGGGCGGGTCCCGGCCAGGCCTCGGCGTTTCCCGGCAGTTTCCCCTTCCCCCATCCTCCCGCATGGCAAAAGTTCCCCAAAATCCCCGAAAATTCCCGAATTTCCCGGAATTTCCCCCAAATTTCTCCTCTTCCCCCCCACTCGCGCTCACCTGGACGCGCCCGGCGCCGCTTCCGGGTGCGGCGGCCACGCCCACCCCAGGCCACGCCCACCCCAGGCCACGCCCACTGCTCCAGGCCACGCCCACCCTAATGGAAGTGAATTAGCACCTGAGGCCACGCCCCCGAGCTCTGATTGGCTGCGCGGGGAGGGGGCGTGGTCTGCTGGCCCTGCGCTGCCGGCGCCCCCTGGCGGGGCGGGAGGGGAACGGACGCGGCGTCACCAAATTGTCCCAAATGTCCCCAAATTGTCCCAAATTTGTCCCAAGTGTCCTCAAATCCCTCCCAGTGTCCCCAAATTGTCCCAAATGTGTCCCAAATTTGTCCCAAATCCCTCCCAGTGTCCCCAAATTTGTCCCAAGTGTCCTCAAATCCCCCCGTGTCCCCAAATTTGTCCCAAATGTCCCCAAATTTGTCCCAAATGTCCCCAAATTTCTCCCAAATTGTCCCAAGTGTCCTCAAATCCCTCCCAGTGTCCCCAAATTGTCACAAATGTCCCCAAATTTGTCCCAAATCCCTCCCAGTGTCCCCAAATTTGTCCCAAGTGTCCTCAAATCCCCCCGTGTCCCCAAATTTGTCCCAAATTGTCCCAAATTTGTCCCAGTGTCCCCAAATTTGTCCCAAATGTCCCCAAATTTGTCCCAA